TTGAGTTTTTGGAGATAAAAATTGAAAGGAACGATATCGGGGGTTGTTCCTTAGGTCTGGAGGTTCGATTTGATATATAGTGCGCGAAAAACGGAGCTAAAACGAGTAAAAACGAGCAAAAATAAAAACGGGGGTCGACAGGGTCGCGACTCGCGAGTCGCGAGTTGGACGGGTCGCTGGGCTGCTGGAGGCTCTGTTAAAGTCGCGAGTCGTGACTTTTTCTCTCGCGAGTCGCGACTAAACTCGCGACTCGCGAGATTCTGGGCTGCACTGCACCATTTTGCGTTTTTGCCTCGTTTGAGCTCGTCCGAACTCGGAATTGAGTTCTGTTTTTTTCTATGCGTCGCTAACGAACCCCTCTATCCACTTATGCTCTCGAAACCAACTTTTCCTGAAGAGAAATTTCGACCGATTCTTTCGATCTACACACCAAAAACGAAAAAACACAAAAGAAAAGCGGAAAAACAAACAAAAAAACACCTAATGACTCAAAATGAAGGAAAACACATAATAAAACAAGAAACGAACTAAAAACTAAAGAAACAACTTAAAACGGAGGGAAACGAAAGATAAAATAAACACGAAAAATGCAACAAAAATGGGACAAACAGTTAGCTCGTGCTATCTTTATTTCCCAACTATAACATAATTTTTTAAGATTTATCATGTAGAGAAATCATGTTTTGCACGAGTAGAAAGAGAGTTTCGGATTTTTAAAGTTTAAAGCCTTAAAATTGGATTTTTAATAGAAAGCATGTTTCGGCCGAGTTTGATAGCTTAATATTCCTTATAAATCATGAGAACGATGGTATATAAATTTGAGCATGTTTGGAGTTCATTTGCCCGGTCATCTAGTGTTCGATTTTTAGTGATTTTCACCCCCGAGGTCAAGTTGTGTTGCATGCGAGTATATGCCATCTTCCCAACCTTATAATTCATGTTTTAGATTGATAAGAACTTAACATTTATCATATGCTTAAGTTTGAGTAGTCGGTTCGGTGACTTAGTGTCCGTACGTGCCATATCGGCCCTATCGGACCACATTCATGTTGACCCGTGGTCTCCTAGTTTTTATTATGATATTTAAGCCTTTTTCATCATATTATGTTGATATATATTGAATGTCATCGAAAAAGTTGTCGGATGACCGGTAAGGACCGGTCATGGTCACTGGCCGCGCATGCAGCGCGCGTAGTGCCGGTCTGTGCCCTGTGCTCGCGCCCTGTAGGCGTGACGCACAGCAACCCATCTCACACGACCACGCCCGACAACGCCTAGTCCGTGTCCGCGTGCGAGGTCTCGGCACCAGTCATGCCCAACAACACACCAGCGCGCCCAATTAGCTTCGGGTCATGCCCAGCAGCACGCCCAAGTGCCCCGTGCCCTCAGGGTCGCCCGACAGCGCCCGAGAGGCACCAGTCGCACCGAGCCAGGCGAGGTAGTTCCTGTCCGCGTACAGTCGGGTCCAGGCGTGCCCAGCAGCACGCCAGAGCCCCAGTCGACCTCGGCCGTGCCCAGCAGCACCCGAGTGACACCAGTCGTG